CAGAGTAGAAAAAGTAAGATTTGTGTACAGAGATTTTTCAGCTTTAAATTCCCAGTTTCTGGGGATAAGGGTATCTTTTCACTTGTTAGTACATGAAGGTTATTTTTCATACAGGAAACTTTTTTCTCGCTTTTAAGGGGACAGAGGAGGCTCTGAGTGAATCTGCACTCGCTGTGTATTAACTAACTGGTATTTTTTTTTTAATATTTTTATTTATTTCTAGGAGAGAGAGAGAGAGAGACAGCGCGAGCAGGGGAGGATCAGAGAGAGAGGGAGATACAGACTCTGAAACAGGCCCCAGGCTCTGAGCTGGCAGTCAGCACAGAGCCCGACGCGGGGCTCGAACCCACGAACCGCGAGATCATGACCTAAGGAAAGTCGGACGCTCAACCGACTAAGCCACCCAGGCGCCCCTTAACTAACTGGTATTTAAATAATATGTTTTGTTTCTTAAATTCCACATATGCATGAAATCATGTGATATTTCTCTCTCTCTGTGACTTATTTTTCTTGGCATCATACACTCTGGAACTATTCATGTGATTGCAAAATGGAAAGATTTCATCTTTCTTATGGCTGAATTATATTCCATTGTATGTATTCATATATATGTCTTTCTAAACACAGATATAGATAGATATAGATATATAGATATAGTTATCAAAGTTTCCAAACCTAGGTTCGCATCACTAGTTTATGAGCAAAAGGAGCTGAACAATATTTTTTGAAACAATGCCAAACCCAGGTTATTTATTGGCTTCAAATGATTTGTTTGGCTTTGTTTCTGACCTTCTGACTGGACTTCATACAAACAACAAAAGCAATTCAAGGGCCGTGTGACAGTGGGTGCACATGTCCCGGGAAGGTCGATGGGTTCAGAGCAAGGATTAGCTTTCAGAGTCCCACGTTACGCGGCTCGAGGACAGAAGGATCCTGAAGAGTCGTTCCAATGAGCAGAGCCCAATTTTGCAGCTTGGGGACTGCGTGTCATCACTGTTTTGCAATACCGGATCGGGACAGGTTTTACAGGCTCTGAAATCCACTCTCCGTGTCACATTCCAACATGACCTTTCTCAGCCATCGAACAGAAAGATCAGTGAGCTTTCAGGACGATGGTCTGACGCAAGGCAGCAAAACGTGCAAATCCCCATCTTCAGGGACACGTAAAGGTGACAAGATGCCCAAAGATGCAAAGAAAAAGTGAGTAAACTCAATGAGCAAACACAATGTCAGTAAAGACCTCAAGATAGAGGTCACCGTGGTCGGGTCAGGCGTCCCTGGGATTGTGGACAAGTGTGTGAGTCCAGGCACAGCCCTGGTGATGCATCACGAGGAAGAAATTTGAAGAAAATGATAACTGTGCTCTCATCAATGCCCAAATTCTCTGGAACAAAAAGCAACCCAGTATACACTGGATTATCTGAAGGAAGATAAAATACCGGTGCACACACAGAACCTGTTTACACGTCTCCACAACGAGCAAGTGTCGTGCAGTCAGAAAAAGAAAAGGCAATTTGAAAGTCAGATCCAGTAATGTCAGCCAAACATAAAGCGATTACTGAAGCACATCCATCCATCCATCCATCCACCCATCCACTCATGCAATCATCCATCCATCCATCCAATCATCCATCCATCCATCCATCCATCCACCCCTCCATCCATCCGGCACCATCCATTTTTCCACTCCTCTATCTATCCATCCACTCTATCTATCTATCTATCTATCATCTATCCATCCATCATTATCTATCCATCCATCCATCATTATCTATCCATCCATCCATCCATCATATCTATCCATCCATCCATCCATCATATCTATCTATCCATCCATCCATCATATCTATCTATCCATCACATTTACCCATATCTATCTATCTATCTATCTATCTATCTATCTATCTATCTATCCATCTATCGGTCTATCCATCCATTATTTATTATCTATCTATCCATCCATTTATTGTATCTATCTACCTATCTATCATATCCATTTATCTATCTACCTATCTATCCATCATATCTATTACCTATCATTTATATATCCATCACTATATCTATCTACCAATGTATCACGCATCTATCATCTATCCAATCAATATATATACATATTTGTAAATATTTTTATTTACTATATCTTATATTTGTATATATATTTATCTTGTATAGTATGTGTTTTACATTTATGTTTTATAGTATTATATACATAAGTATCTTCATATATATTTATATACATAAATATAAAAACATATTTTAGGAGTGCCTGGGTCACTCAGTCGGCTAAGCAGCCGACTCGGGCTCAGGTCATGATCTTGCGGTTTGTGAGTTCGAGCCCCGCATCAGGCTCTGTGCTGACAGCTCAGAGCCTGGAACCTGCTTCCCATTCTGTGTCTCGCCGTCTCTCTGCCCCTCCCACACTCGTGCTCTGTCTCTGTCAATAATAAACGTTAAAAAAATTTTTTAAATATATTTTTATAAATAATACATTATGTTATGATAGAATATATAAATGTATATGCATAAATATATTGTGCATATATTATATACTGTCTATATGTAATTCCATACATGTATTGCATTATCAACGACTATTACATCTGTAGCGAACTGACCCTGGAAAGGCGAGGAGAACCTTCCAGGGTCACTGAAAGCATCGTCTGTGAGCGTCCAGCAGGGGCCGCCTGCGGACTCCAAGCGAACATGGGGAAAAAGTGAGACTCGGGGTTTCTTTTTCCGCCCGATCTGCGTAATTTGTACAGCTGACCAACCACATGTGTCCGTGTAAGGTGTGCAGGGTGCCGAGCGGACGCCGGACACGCGGCCGTGTCCTGTCGCGGCGGGGACGTCGCAGACCCGCCGCGTCCGCGGTCAAGTTCACAGTCAAGGCCAACAGGATGCGCGCCCCGGGCTGATGCCCCCCCACCGCTGCCTTCACCCCTGCAGGCTTGTGCCCTTGATTAGTGGGGTCTGAGGGTCAGGACCCCCGGGGAAGGGTCCCTCCGCGGGGACAACCGGGTCCCGCGCCGCAGCCCCGCCCGCAGCGCTTCATCGCGAAAGGGCGTCATTTGAGGGACTTAGAACGCGTCTGCAGCCTTAGAAACAGAGGCGGCACGCCATTGGCCAGCGCCGGCACGTGACCACCGTGGCCTGCAAAGGGTTCTGGGAATTGTAGTTCGGCTGAGAGGCCCGGCGCCTCGCTGGCGCGCCTTGGATTCTGGACATAGAAAGGGCAAGTTTGGGGCGGGGGGGCTGGGGGGCGAGGGGGGGGACTTCATTTCCGAGCGCTCAGAGTGTTCATGAGCGTCTGCAGTTTTCATTTCGTGGCCTCATCGACTAATCCGATAGTAAGAAACATCCTGTATATTGCAATGAGCCTAATTCTATTTCTATGGAAAAAAAGTTTATTTACCATCCCCCCCCCCCGCCCCGGCTGCACCTGCAGACCTCGGTACCCGCAGGGCGTGGCTGGGGATGCTTGTGACGCCTCATCTCCTGCAGCCTTAGCATCTGAGCCCGTCACGCACCCGTCACATGCAATTCGTGCAGCCCAGAGAGGTCGTACAGCCTGCCTGAGGTTGCACAGCACAAGGCCGTAGAGCGTGCACGGACTGCGCCTGGTGCAGACCCAGTCTTGAATTCACTATCTGGGCCTCAACGTCCGCGGGTGAGTCCCGACTGGCATCCCCGCTCTGCCCCTTAGGGACGCTTAATGCACTCCCCGTCCTTCCTGTCCACTGAGGAAGATGCAGGGGGGCAGCCTGGAGCGATGCGGGTGCGCGTGCCTTAGGGCCGCCCTCATCAGTGCCACATACCCCGCGGCTTCAACAACACACGGTGAGCGTCTCCCACTTCCGGAGGCAGGAAGTCTGAGATCCAGGCGGGGCAGGGACGCGTGCTCCCTGTGAACAGAGTACGGGAGGGTCTGTTGCAGACTGAACAACTTCAGGTAGGTTGGCTTTGTGGTGGCCTATTCCAAGCCGCATGCGGGATTCTCCCTGCGACCCCGTCCGGGTCCAAGTTCCCCCCTTATATGGGTGCCTGTCCTCTGGGGCTGGGCCCACCCTACCCCAGAGTGACCTCAGCTAATGACACGCGCACACTTCACTCCCAACATAGTAATTTGGGGACGGGAACGCACCTCGCCCCATCACAATGTATTAGTTGTTAACATTCGTGTGTGTGTGTGTGTGTGATTGATTATTCCCCCTTAGAAGCATGACCTGGACCCCCAGACACAGTATGATCGATACGGCCATTTCCTTCCTTGACGGGGCGCACACTGCCGCTTACTGTGACTTTCCTCCTGTGTTGAGCAGGACACAATGCCCCCCCACCCCCGCCCTGTGTCGGCTCTACTTCAGTCATCAGTCGTCAGTCAATCAATCCAATGCTTCTGGTGCATAACCCCTCCCCCCCAAAAAAGTTATTCCTCCGAATTATCATTATTCAAATATGTTTATTTCTTTATTTTTTTTTAAGTTTGTAATGTTTATTTTTCAGAGAGCGAGAGAGACAGCGTGAGCAGGGGAGGGGCAGAGAGAGAGGGAGACACAGAATCCGAAGCAGCTCCAGGCTCTGAGCTGTCAGCACAGAGCCCGACGCGGGGCTCGAACCCACAAACCATGAGATCATGACCTGAGCCCAAGTGAGACATTTAACAGACTGAGCCTCCCATGAGCCCCATAATTCGTCTTATTCCAAGTGACATCACCCCAAACACGTCTTCGGGGCGGGGGGTGGGGTGAAGGAAGGTCAGCGGCTCCTCAAATACCTGCGTGTCCCTCAGGACGGAGCAGAGGCCGCCTCAGACACAACGCACACCCAATGGACACACAACCAACCCAGGACGGGGTTGACTCGACACTTCATGATTTTTAGACTTTTTCCAGAGCCGTTTCATCAATGTCGGCGGGAAATAGAGAGACAAGAACACAGCAACCCACGGGGAGACTTTTATTTCAGAAAACATTTATTTTATTTCTTTTACATTTACTGCAAGCGATAACAAGTACTTAAGGCAGTTACAGAAAAAAGAAAAAAATGGGTCGTTATTAGGGCTGCAATTCCGTCCAGGTGTCTGTGAAGGTGTGAGTCTGTCTGTCTACACACACACACACACACACACACACACACACAGTTTTCAAGATTCAAACTCCTACCGAAACTCACAGGTACAGAAAGAGCAGGTGAATCACGAATGTGAAACATCCCATCAAGATCGTCCGCTGTAAATCCTTTTTCTATTTGGGGAGATTCTTCTAGCACTTTCTGCATTCAAGGCCTCTTTGGAGACCTGCCTCCCGGTCCATAACCTTGAGCACAACACAGGCATCGACTTTGGACTCTCCTGGGCCCCCTTCTGAGTTCCAGACTTCAACACACGCTGACATTTAGTGCAAACTCCAAAAGTCGTATCAGCGTTCACATCAGCTTATTAAACTCTATCAATAGGCCCAGATCCTTCCTTTCCCTCATTTTCCCCCAAAACGTTGCTAAAATAGAAGCAAATACCTACTATGCTTTTTAGATGCTTGGAGACTTAACGATTTTCTACTGCAGTAAAAAGGAGAAAATAAGTATCAACCCAGAAGCAGGAAGCCATCGCCTCAGACACAACAGCCCACAGACTACGGCATGAAAAAAAAAATGTGAGAAGAGTCTGAACAGGCACAAATCACAACTGCCGGCCCGTTTTCCCTCCAAACTACCGGAATCGTAAGATTTCACAGGAAGCAAGGAAAAAGTCCACACATATTGCCGGTGGTGTCTTCACATCAGGGAGCATGCACACAGCAAGGACAAACCCCGGCCCTACTGTGCGGGGGTAAGAGTTACATGGTCACAGCCAGTGATGAGCAGCGGGAATCTCGAATTATTGTTCCAGCTGGAAGGGAGGGCGCTGGCTCCCTGATGAAGACTCCTCACGGACCAAGTTTCTTCCCGGAACATGCTGGAAACCCCAGAAGGAGACAGCACCCCCCCCCCGCCCTCGGACCCCCACTGTACTTTGGGACAATGTGCACGTCCGGCACCATGAGGTAGTTCTGGGGAACCCACCGCAGCCTCGAAATCTGGCCCAGAGCGTGATCAAGCCACAGATGAGAGAGTCTTCCTGGGACCCAAGGCTAAGAAGGTGACGGAGCTGTCACACGAGGGAAGCACGGGGACCTCGTGACACCCAGCCGCTCTCAAGGCGACCGCGGGACCCCAGGCTGTCACACGTGCACCGGTTCTAAAAGGGAAGATCGGGAACAGAGTCAGAGCCGGGAACGACAAAACGTTCTCAATAAGAAATAAAATCAGAATTACTTGTAGAAAAGGATCATACACTTGGACATGTTAATACTGGACAGAAACTTTTAAAAGGAGGGTAAATGGTGTTGTGAGCACCTGTTAACTGAGGCTGCAGGTGTTACTGTTTTTTGTTTTTCAATTGGGTAATACCTTCCTTGGGCCCTCGTCACAATGTTGAGCGACCCTCGGCCTGGGAGGAGATAAATTTCTATCCAGCTCAGCACCAGAACAGGACCCTGGGACCACTTCTGGAAGCCCTTCACGTAGCCCTGCTTCATTCAGCACTGCCTGGTCTTCCTTTCAGGTTTTCAGCACTTTGTGATTGCTAAGGAGTTTACCAACGTTGTCCATCAATGTTTCTTTTCACTTACATTTTTTTTAAGGAATCGGCCAGTTTGGGGATTATGGGAGCCCATCTTGCAAGCTGGTTTTCACAGCCTCTGTAGGGACAGGAAGGAGGGGCGGGCGGACCCTCTCTGCAAACCCCAGACCCCTGTGGACACTGTGTCCCGGGGCCAACCTGCAAATGCCCTGGGTGTTACCCTCGGAGCTCCTGTTTTTGCAACAGAGCCCCGTGTGTGTCCCCGGGGACAGGTCCTCAGGGACATTCAGTGACCGGCACCCACCACCTCTGCTCCCCGTGCACCTGCACCAGCTGGCGTGGGATTCTCCAAACCCGGGACCCTGACCCCCCAGTGGAACCAGAAAACCACAGCTCGCCCTTCCTCCCCTACCCCCGGCCACTTGCATTTCCCTGAGGTCTGCACACCGCCCCCAAATATAACAGGGATGCTCACAAGTTCAAGGTCGTGTGCAGGTTCCTCTGGGGCCCCCGTGGTCCCTCAAAAAGTCACAAGGCCACTCGCATTTCCCTGGGGTCTGCACACCGCCCCCAAATGCAACAGGGAGGCTCACAAGTTCAAGGTCGTGTGCAGGTTCCTCTGAGGCCCCCTGGGTCCCTCAAAAAGTCACGAGTGAACCCCGTCCTCAGGCCAGGGCGCCGGCCCAGACGTGACCAGACACATGCAGCCACGTGCCCGGCGCAGGAAGGAATCTTCCAGAGCGAGACACTTGCCGTTGGTGCGGAAGCAACTGCCGCCCCTCCTCCGCTGGAAGTAGCCGGCCGCGGCGCCCACCAGGGTCACGACCAGCACGGACACCACGGGCGACACGATTTTCGCTATGGTGTTACCTGCAGGGACAGAGATCACTGGGGTCAGCGACCCCGCCCGCCCGCCCTCCACTCCGCACGAGGAAGTGCATCAACAGAGCAGCCCCGAATGAGGAGCTAGACGAAAGGGTTCTGCGCCCGCCCCACGACGCGCTGTGACGGTTTCCTGACATTTGGGGGGGCGGGTCCCCGGCCCCTTACCTTGCTGGTTCCCGTAGGTGTTGTGTCCGCTTCCGCCTGCAACGGAGGGAGAAGGGCACACGGTCACGTGTCTGTTCCCACCTCGGTCCGCCGGGCGCTGCGACCCGCTGCGCTCGCAGCTCTGGGCGCCGCACACAAGACCCGGATGGCGGGTCCCGTCCCCCGGGGGCGCGGGCGCACTCAGCGAAGAGGGGCGGGGATGTGCACGCGCAGGTACGTGTGCAACGGACGTGAGGTCACACATTCATGCGTATGCACACACAAACCGCTGTAAGCGTGCACGCAGTGCACACCTCCTCACACGTGCACACACACCTCCACACACGTGCAAACCACACACGTGCACACGCACACCGCCACACACGTGCACACATACCTCCACCATGAACACACCTCCACGCACGTGCACACAGTCCTCCACACACGTGCACACGCACACCGCCACACACATGCACACACACCTCCACGCATGTGCACACTCCCACACACGTGCACACGCACACCTCCACATGAATACACACCTCCACATAGGTGCACACCTCCAGACACGTGCACACGCACACCTCCACTCATACCTCCACCATGCATACACACCTCCACACACGTGCACACACTCCACACACGCGCACGCACTCTGCCACACACGTGCGCACGCACACCTCCACACACGTGCACTGCCACACACGTGCATGCACACCTCCACATGAATACACACCTCCACACACGTGCACACCCACTCCGCCACACACATGCATTCACACCTCCACATGCATGCACCTCCACACACGTGTACACACACCTCCACCATGCATATACACCTCCACACACGTGCACAGGCACACACATGCATGCACATACCTCCACATGCACACACACCTCCAAACACGTGCACACACAGCTCCACACATGTGCACGCACACACCTCCACATGCACACAAGAGCGCACACCTCCACACGCACACGTGCAAGCGCAAAGCTCCACACATGTGCACACACACACCTCCAGACACCCTCACATGCGCACCTACACACACACATTTCCACACACACGTGCACACACATAGCTACACACACGTGCAGACATGTACACTGATGCACATGTACACTGATGCACACACATGCATTTACACACACCTCCATATACGTGCACGCACACACCTGCACACACATGCACACGCACACTTCCACATGCACACACCCCTCCACATGCATACAAGAGCACACACCGCACACCTCCACACACACGTGTACATGCACAGCTCCACGCACGCGGTTTCATACACGTGCACACGCAGAGCTCCAGACACCCGCACATGTGCCCCCCCACATTTCCACACACACATGCACGTGCACAGCTCCACACAGGTGCACACGCACAGCTCCACACACATGTGCACGCGCACAGCTCCACACACATGCACACTGATGCACACACATGCATGTACACACACACACATACTACGAACCGCAGACGAGCTCACTCCCTCGCCAGAAAGGGAAGCAGCTTCACTGAGAAGGAAAGCACACGTGTTAGACCCCGCTGGTGACCCGAGTGGACACGGGACACAACACGACACACCTCCGGCCAGCACACACACGGCTGTTAGTCCCCGAGGGCAGCTCCGCCTCCCACAGCGTGTGCAACACAACTCCTTTACCATAGTTGTTTCCGTAAGAGTGGGGTCTAGAGCGCCCTCCACCTGCCGGACAGAGAGAGCACGTGAAACGGAGGAGAACATTCTGGAAGCTTCCATGGCAGCAGTGAGAACACCAGCGGGCCCGAAGCAAGATGTCCCCAAGTTCAGGCCGCAGCCCTGGGCCCCCCGGACCCCAGGGCGGGAGTGTGTTGGCTGGTGGCCCTTTAGAGGGAACCAGGTCCAAAATGAAGGTAAAATGAGGTCGTGAGGACCAGGCCACTGATTTTCGCACGGTCCTGCGTGAGGACAGGACACGCAAAGAGGCGCTGCCGCCTCCAGGCAGGCGGCCAGGCCCCACCCAGGAGCTCAGGCTGCTCGGCCCCAAGGCTGACAGCTCGTTCCGATGGCTCTCAAGGTCCTGAGAAATGCCAGTGTCTGCTCAGGGTCCTGACCCCTTTCCTGCGGGAAACGGGGACATTCTTAGGGCTCCAGGGAGGCTTGCGGCTCAGCCCAGTCACCTCTCTCTATCCGTGAATCCAGCAAAGACGAAAAAACAGGCTCTCACGGGATCCTTGTCTTCAGAGGGTGTGCAAGGGTAACGCCTCCCCAGATGAGGGTGCGGCCCCGGCCTGCAGGGCGAGGGGTGTCCCACACTACCAGCCCCCCGTGGCTGCTTGTGAAAATACGGTGTCTATAGGGGCGCCTGGGGCTCAGTCGGTTGAGCATCTGACTTCGGCTCAGGTCATGACCTCAAGGTCTCTGGGTTCGAGCCCCGCGTCGGGCTCTGTGCTGACAGCTCGGAGCCTGGAGCCTGTTTGGATTCTGACTCTCCTCTCGCTCTGACCCTCCCCTGCTCACACTGTCTCAAAAATAAACAGATATTTTAAAAAATCAAAACCACAAGAAAGGCCTGAGCCCTCAGAGGGCAGGCGGGTGCCCTCCCTGCAGACACAGCTGGGCAGGACCAGAGGCCCAGACGCAGGTCACCGTGTGAGAGGGAGGCCCGGAGGCCGGTCCCCAGCATCAGGCTCTGAATTACACGCTACGCTGACTATCATCGTGGGGTCACCACGGTAAGCACGGCGCAAAGGGATTTGTTCACGGCGTTCGAACCCCGCACAAAAGGTGCGTGTGTGCATCGTGCTGTCCACACGACCTGGTCCCTACTCCCCTCACAGACGTGCACCAGAGCCTCACACGTTACCCCCCGAGCACACACGCGGCACCGGTCGGTCTCCCCTAGGGAGCCTGCTTTCACTGACTTGCGGAAATTTCTATGAAGGGGTTCGCCTTCCGCTTACACAGAAAACACTGCATGATTGTTGTACACGCACGTGTGGATGTGTGTGTGTGTGAGAGAGGGTGTGCATAGATATACAGATATATGCACAAATATAAGTATCTACGTATGTATACTCACAGATACGCACACATATACACAAATATAGGTATCTGTATCTAAGACTACATATGTAATACATACACATATAAAAGTATACGTGTGTGTATATAAAGCTATATAAATATACATGAAGATACATATACAATAAACCTATATGGGAATATCCCTATATATAAAGGGATATATATAAATATACTCAAAATACATACACAAGTATATAACGCTGTGTGTGTATATATAAATACATGTATACATATGTCAAAGCGTGTACAAATGTAATGTTATAAAGGGTATCTATAATCATGCACATACAAATATATATACGTAAATATAAACATATACGAAACATATATAAAGGAAAATATATACACACCCTATATACAAGCATGTATGTATACATATACATATGTATTTATAAAAGGTGTATATGCAGAGATGTATAAATATGTACATATACATATAAAGGTGTATATGTAAATAAAAAGGATATGAATAAATATAAAGATATGTAAATATATGCATATGCATATAAAGGTACATATACATAAAGATAAATAGAAACATTCATATATAAATGTGTTTATGTAAATATATATAAAATGATATATGCATAAGTAAAGATATAAAAACATGTATATGCACATATACAGTTGTATACAGAAATAAATACACAGACTTTATATGTAAATATATATAAAGGGCTGTATACATAAAAAGATATGCAGGGACTTATGTACTAAAGGTGTATATGTAAATGTATATAAAGGTACATTTAAATAAAGATATAAAAATATGTACATGCACATATATAGGGGTGTATATATATAAAGAGACTTACATGTATGTGTGTACATATAAATATGAATATATAAATGTGTATATAAAGTTGTATATTTACATAAAGGGATGTATGCATAAAGATTTAGAGACACATATGTATATAAAGGTGTATATATAGATGTACATAACGGGATATATACATAAAGAAAGATAAAAAAGGACTTTATGTATATAAAGGTGTATACTTAAATATATATAAAGGGACATATTAATAAAGACATAAAAATATGTACATGCACATATATAGGGGTGTATACATAAATAAATATACAAAGACTTACAAAGATATGTGTATATGTAAATATATATAAAAGCTTGTACATGTAAATAAGGATATGCAGGTACTTATGCACATAACGGTGAATATGTAAATATATATAATGGGATATATAGGCAAAGAGACATATGCAGGGACTTATGTATATAAAGGTGTATATGTGAACATACATAAAGGGATCTATACTAAAGAGTAAAAATACCCACATGCGCATATACAGGGTGTATACAGAGAGACTTTCCTATGTGCGCATGTATATGTGAATATAAATAAAGACGTAAAAATACGCACATGCGCATACACAGGGTGTAAACAGAGACTCTCATATGTGCACGTGTACATGCGAATATACATAAAGGGATCTATAAATGAAGACGTAAAAATACGCACATGTGCATATACAGGGTGTATACAGAGAGACTTTCATATGAGCACGTGTACACGTGAATATACATAACGGGACTCCCAGGGACGGGGACTGACGCACGTAAACCCTATATGTAGCTGCAGGGGCGCATGCGGAATAACAATCTAAAGTCGCGTGCACACAGGACCCCCGCACACGTAACGGTGCGGTGCAGACTGAGCGGAGCGCACGTATAAAGGCACGTGTGCACACGTACGCGCAGGGCCGGGAAGTGTGAACACGCACAGGTCCACACGGACACGCTCGCGCACACGTCTACACAGCAGCACACACCACCTTCCGGGGGAAGCCGCCCGTTTCCGGGCTGGCCCAAGTGCGGGGACCCACTTCCGGGCGCTCTGGAGGACACGCCCCGCACCCCGCACCCCCACCCCCGCCCGGGTGCAGGGGGAGAAGCGGCGGGCGTACCTGCGGGCTGCCGGGGCCAGAGCGGGAAGTGCGCCTCCTCCTCTGGGTTACTGCTCCCCAAGGAGCCTGCAGGGCAGGGCCGGGGTCAGGACCCGCCCTGCCGATGGGAGAGGCTCCGCATGCGCAGGAAGCGCCGACCCCAGGACCCTTGCACATGCCCTCTGCCCTCCCTGCCGCCGCCCCGCGTGGCCCCCCACACCCCACACAGGAAGCGCCGACCCCAGGACCCTTGCACATGCCCTCTGCCCTCCCTGCCGCCGCCCCGCGTGGCCCCCCACACCCCACACAGGAAGCGCCGACCCCAGGACCCTTGCACATGCCCTCTCCCCTGCCTGCCGCCGCCGTCCGCGGCACCCCACACCCCACACAGACGCGTCCATGCGTTTCTGCGCCTGGCACGCTGCAGGCGCGCCCGTTCCCTCGGTGACGACACAGCCCCATGCACAACACCAAGCTGGGCACACAGTGAGCGCGCATCTAAACGCTTGGCAGTCCCTCCATACAAGCACATACTAAGCGCTCACTTAAAAAACAGCTTTTAGTTTTTCCCTGCAAGCACACAGTAGGTGCTCAACTGAATGCTTTAGAGTCCCTCTGTCCAAGTACATAGTAAGTGCTCAGTTAAACAACCGAAAGATCTTCCCTGCAAGCACAGAGTAAGTGCTCAGCGAAACGCTTTGGAGTTCCTCTGTGCACGCAGAGTAAGCGCTCCCTTACATACCTGGGAGTTCTCCCCTGCAAGCACATAGTAAGTGCTCAGCTAAACAGCTTTTAGTTTTTCCATGCAAGCACAGAGTAAGTGCTCAGTTAAACACTAGAGACTTTCTCCCTGCAAGTACATAGTAAGTGCTCAATTATAAAGTACGAAGTTTCTTCATGCAAGCACACAGTAAGTGCTCTGCTAAACACCTGGGAGTTCTTCCCTGCAAGCACATAGTAAGTGCTTAATGAAACAGTTTGTAGTTCTCCATGAAAGCACATAGTAAGCGCTCGGCTAAACACGGAAGAGTTCCTCCAGATAAGTACATAGTAAGTGCTCAGTTAAATACTTTGGAGTTTCTCTGTACAAGCCCATCGTTAAGAGCTGAGTTAAACAGTTTTTAGTCTTTCCATGCAAGCACATAGTAAGTGCTCAATTAAAGGCCCGAGAGCTCCTCCGTGCAAGCATATAGTAGGTGCTCAATTAAACACATGGGCGTTCCTACGTGCAAGCACATAGTAAGCGCTCACGTTGATGAAACTGTTGACACGGAAAAGGCATGTCGAGGCTTCTCTGACTTCTGTCTGCAACGATTTCTCCATCGGCGACGCCCGCCCAGAGCGGTGAGGCCCCCGGGAAAGGGGTTCCCTGCTCTGGGGGGCTCGTGACGGCTCTCGGGCTTTGCTTAAATGGGGCGTCTAGGGAAATACGTGTGGGCGGAGAGCAGCCTGGATCAGGGACCCTCCTAACTACGAGGTCACTGCGCCCCACGCCAGAGGTTGGGGGGCAGCAGGGGAGTGGAGGGGAGGGGCTGCGGGGGCGGGGGCGGCCTGGGGTCCAGGCCTGTGGAGCACAGCGGGGCGGGTTCAGGGGAGCAGTGAGGCCCTTGTGCCGCCCTCACTGTGACCTGAGTCCCCCGCACGGCCAGCGGGTCGACCGCCAGGGCTTCCGGGGACCCCTCCTCCCAGCCCCCAGGCCTCCGGTCGCTGAAGCAGCGGCTCTTCGAAAGAGGAACTGCGAGGTGCTGACGTGTAGAAACGGGTGTGTTCATGGACGGAAGCGATTCCTCTGAAGTTTGGCACAGTTTCTGTAGTAACTTCCCACATTCGTCATCCAAATACCGCAAACGAGGGGGCTGAGGCGACACGTGTCCCCCCTCCGACGCCCCAGGTCCTGAGGCCGGGGGTCTGAGGTCCAGGCAGGGCCGAGGCCGGGGGTCTGAGGTGCAGGCAGGGCCGAGGCCGGGGGTCTGAGGTCCAGGCAGGGGTGAAGCTGGGAGTGTGAGATCCAGTTGGGGTGAGGCTGGGAGTCTGAGGTCCAGGCAGGGCCGAGGCCGGGGGTCTGAGGTCCAGGCAGGGCCGAGGCTGGAGTTCTGAGATGCAGGCAGGGGTGAGCCTGGGTCTTCCTGAGGCCCCCGTTCTTGGCGTGCAGATCTGTGGTCTCCCCATGTCGTCACGTGGTCGTCTCGCTGTGGGAGTCCGTGTCCTGATCTCCTCTTTGGAGGGCGCGGGTCTTTCGGGACCAGAACCCACCCTAATAACCGCATTTTCCCTCATTTCCCTCGTTAAGGAGCCCATTTGCAGAGTCGCGCCCTGAGGTCGTTCAGTTAGGGAATCAAGTACCGACGTGGGGGGGGGGGGGGGGGGAGAAGGCATCCGTGGCCCCGTCTGGTTGCCTGCGAGCCAGCGTGCAGCCCCCGCTCCTGGGCTCAGATGCCAGCTCCAGAGAGCCGACCCAGCGGCTCTGGAAGGGGTGGGTGTAGACATGAGGAGCCCGGGGGTGGGGGCCGAGGAGCAGCGACGGCCCGGTGTGTGCACAGGACAGTCTGAGGTCGTCCCGCCTCCCTGTGTCAGAGAAGCCCGCCGCCCGCTTCACGGGCCCCTACACGACCTGAGCACCCCCAGCTCCTTCCCACTGCGTCAGGAGCCCCGAGAAACCCCCCGGGAGCCACGCGTCAAAGCAGGTGGCCCCTTGCAGAAAACCCCAGAACATTCCGTCTGGAAGCTCTTTCTCAACGTGGCTTATCTGTGCTCGGCTGCATTTTTCCACAGAATGTTCCGGAACAGCCCACAGCCTGGGGACTTTCAGCACTGCTGCCAACGACCGGTGTTCCTTCTGGACGGACGCACACAGGAGCCCCGGGTGCGCCGGGCCGAGCATGCGAGTGCAGGGCACGGTCGGCTGCTACACGGCAGGCTGGCCGCCATCACCGTGTTGTCCACGACCTCAGCTCACCCCTTGGTTTTGTGCGTGCGCGGAGTTTCAGCAGAGCGAGAAAACAGATTCCAGATGGCATCCGCAGCTGGCGGTCTGAGTCACAGGGTCCCCGCCCACCCTGGGCCTCGCCCTTCCCTTCCCTGGGGTGCTGGTGAGTCACCCCGTCCTGCTGGCTCATCACATACACTTAACCCCCCCGCTTCCCAAACACAGAGAAGGAAACACTTTCCGTGAGGGACTCCCACGCTTTCCTCGTGGGAGAAGAGTGACACGTAATTTCCAGGGGCGCCTGGGGGGGCTCAGTCGATTAAGCTCCGGCTTCGGCTCAGGTCATGATCACACGGTTCGTGGGTTCGAGCCCCGCGTCGGGCTCTGTGCTGACGGCTCGGAGCCTGGTGCTGCTTCGGATTCTGGGTCTCCCTCTCTCTGTGACCCTCCCTGCTCACGCTGTCTCTTTCTCTCCAAAATAAATAAGAACATTTTATTCCTTCCGATTCTGTCTCTCTCCTCTCTTTGTACCCCGACACGCTCTGTCTGTCTCACTCTCTCTCAAACTTTAAAATAAATAAAATATTTAAAAATTTAAAAAATTTTAAGTAAATTCCAGGAGGAATAAGTGGGAGAATCATGCACTTGGAGGTATGAATACTGGACAGAGATTTTTAAAAGGAAGGGAAAACAGTGATGTGAACACCCTTTAACTGAGGCTGTGGGTGTCACTCTTTCCAGTGGGTAACGGCTTCCTTGGACCCTCATACCAAGGTTGAGTGACCCCCTCCTGGGAGGAGATAAATTTCTATCCAGCTCAGCACCAGAACGGGACTCTGGGACTGCTTCTGGAAGCCTGCTTCATTCAGCCCTGCCTGGTCTGCTTTTAGGTTTTCAGTACTTTGTGATTGCTAAGGACTTTACCACTGTTTTCCATCAATGTTCCTTTCACTTAATTTTTTTAAAGAAATCAACGGGAAGCTCGTCTCCCAAGTGATTGAAACCCCAGAGACACGGAGGATAAATGATATACGACACACGGCACCCACAGGTGGGCTTTTTCGGGGCCGCATCATTTGGAACCATGCAAACACGTGAAAGAGGAACTTGTCCTCAGCCTAATTAAAAATGCATCACAATAACGTACAGTATCCATCAGGCAGACCTATTTTGCAGCAGTCAGAGAACAGGGAATGAAGTGCGTGATGCGGGGTCAACCTTCCACCCCCCTGCTTGGGAGTGCGAGGGGGTTTCCTGCAGAGGGAGAGCCATTCCCCATTTCAAAGGCAGCTGAGGAAACCCACCAGGAAGACAAAGCAGGCTCTGTCCAAGCAGCGTGCGGAGGACCCTGAGGGAGCACACGACTTACCTCCACTGTTGTCGGGCATGCCCGGCTGGGGGTGGTAGGGGGGCCTCGGCTTGGGGTAGATACCTGAGGGGAAAACGACAGTGCACATTTAACAGAGAAAAGTAGCCACTGTCAGCAGCAGCCTGTGACACAGGAGCATCAACACGGCAATAGATGCCCCAGGTGCCTCACACCTGCTGCCCATGTGTCATAGAAGGTCACAGACCAGTGGAACCTTCCAGAGCCTCTCGATGTAAAAATCTCAAACGTAGAACTTAAAGAAAAACCTCATCTAGTGCATGCACAAACGCGCACTCACACACACACACACACAAACACATCCATCCATCCATTCATCCATCCACCCACCCAACCATTTACCCACCCAGGTCCATCCACAATCCACTCATCCAACCATCCAAAAATCCATCCACCCACCCATCCCTCACTCCGTCCGTGGACATTAGCCTATCACCAATTTTTGCTATTGGTGAATCATGCTGCTGGTCTATACCTAGGATGGTATTGCCTCCTGGGTGGAGGAGCACCTGGGTGGCTCAGTCAGTTAAGTGTCCAACTTTGACTCAGGTCATGATCTCTGGGTTTCTAGGTTCTGGCCCCGCATCAGGCTCAGAGCCTGGAGCTGCTTCCGATTCTGTGTCTCCCTCTCTTTCCTCCCCTTACCCGCTCTTGCTCTATCTCTCAAAATTTAATAAAAACATTTTACTGCTTCAGATTCTTGGTCTCCCTCTCTCTGCGCTTCTCACCAGCTCATGTTCTGTCTCTCTCTCTCTCAAAAATAAATATTAAAAAATAAAAACATTAAAAAATAGTTTTAAAAAATAAATTCTAGGAGGAATAAGTTGGAGGAAAGGGTCTTGAGCTTGGAGTGTTAATATTGGACAGAAATTCTTAAAAGGCAAGGGCAAATGGTGGTGTGAGCACTCGTTAACTGAGGACGCGGGGGTGACTGTTACTTTTCAGTTAGGTAACGGCTTCCTTGGACCCTTGTCTAGACATTGAGTGGCCGCTCCTGGGAGGAGATAAATTTCTATCCATCTCAGCACCAGAATGGGACTCTGCGACTGCTTCTGGAAGCCTTTTGCTTAGCCCTGCTTCATTCGGCCCCGCCTGGTATGCTTTTAGGTTTTCAGCACTTTTTGATTGCTAAGGAGTTTATCAATGTTGACTGTCATTGTTTCCTTTCACTTAATTTTTTTAAAAGAAATCTATGGGAACAGCGTCTCCCAAGTATTTGAAACCCCACTGACTGGAGGATAGATGACATACAATACACAGCACACACAGGTGGGCTTTTTCGGCGCATCATTTGGAACCGTGCAAACATGTGAAAGAGGAACTTGTCCTCAGTCTAATTAAAAATGCATCACAATAACGTACCGTATCCATCAGGCAGACCTATTTTGCAGCAGTCAGAGCAACAGGGAATGAAATGCGTGAGGCGGGGCCAACCTTCCACCCCCCTGCTTGGGAGTGTGAGGCGGTTTCCTGCAGAGGGAGAGCCGTTCCCCATTTCAAAGGCAGCTGAGGAAGGAACACAAAGCAGGCTCTGTCCAAGCAGCGTGCGGAGGACCCTGAGGGAGCACACAACTTACCTCCACTGTTGTCGGGCATGCCCGGCTGGGGGTGGTAGGGGGGCCTCGGCTTGGGGTAGATATCTGAGGGGAAAACGACAGTGCACGTTTAGCAGAGAAAAGTAGCCACTGTCAGCAGCAGCCTGTGACACAGGAGCATCAACACGGCACTAGATGCCCCAGGTCCCTCACACCTGCTGCCCATGTGTCATAGAAGGTCACAGACCACTGGACCCTACTTGAGCCTCTCGATGTAAAAATTTCAAAACTATAACTAAAGAAAAACCCCACATAGGCACATGCACACACACACACACACACACACACACACACCCATCTCTCCATCCATCATTCACTCATTGATCCATCCATCCATCATCCATCCATCCAATCATCCATACATCCAAACATCATCCACCCATTCATCCATCCATCATCAATCCACCCACCCAATCATCCACCCATCCATCATCCATCCTTCTACCCACCCACCCATCCATCCATCCATCCATCCAACAACTATACAGGGATGCATGCATCCATCCACCCATCCATTAACCCATCCACCACCCAACCATCTGGCCTCCCATCATCCATCCAAAAATCCACTCATCCAACCATCCAACCATCCATGCAACCACCCATCCCTCACTCCCTCCGTAGAAATTAGCCAATCACCAACTTTTTGCTATTGGTGAATAATGCTGCTGGTCTATACCTAGGATGATATTGCCTTCTGGGTGGAGGGGCGACTGGGTGGCTCAGTCTGTTAAGTGTCCAACTTTGGCTCAGGTCATGATCTCAGTGTTCATGGTTTTGAACCCCGTGTTGGCCTCTGTGCAGACAGCTCAGAGCCTGGAGCCTGCTTCCGATTCTGTGTCTCCATCTCTTTGTGCCCCTCACCAGCTCATGCTACCCCTCTCTCTCTCTCTCTCTCTCTCAATGATAAATAAAAACATTTTGAAAACATTTTAAAGAAGTGAATTCCAAGAGGAATTAGTTGTAGAAAAGGATCACAAACTTGGACATGTTAATACGGGACAGAAATTTTTTTTTTATATTTTTTATTTATTTCTAGGAGAGCGAGAGAGACAGCGTGAGCAGGGGAGGGTCAGAGAGAGAGGGAGTCACAGACTGAAACAGGCTCCAGGCTCTGAGCTAGCAGTCAGCACAGAGCCCGACGCGGGGCTTGAACCCAAGAACCGCGAGATCACGACCTAAGCGAAAGTCGGACACTTAACTGACTTAGCCACCCAGGCGCCCCCAGAAATTTTTAAAAGGAAGGGTAAATGGTCATGTGAGCACCTGTTAACTGAGGCTGCAGGTGTTACTGTTTGTTGCTTTTCAATTGGGTAATACCTTCCTTGGGCCCTCGTCCCATGTTTAGCGACCCCCGGCCTGGGAAGAGATAAATTTCTATCCAGGTCAGCACCAGAATGGGACTCTGGGGCCACTTCTGGAAGCCCTTCCCTTAGCCCTGCTTCATTCAGCACTGCTTGGTCTTGCTTTTAGGTTTTCAGCACTTTGTGATTGCTAAGGAGTTTACCAATGTTCTGCATCAATGTTTCTTTTCACTTACATTTTTTTTAAAGAAATCTACGGGAAGCTTGTCTTCCAAACATTTGAAACCCCAAAGACACGGAGGATAGATGACATACAATACACAGCACACACAGGTGGGCTTTTTCGGGGCTGCATCATTTGGAACCGTGCAAACATGTGAAAGAGGTATTTGTCCTCAGCCTAATTAAAAAACATCACAATAACGTACAGTATCCACCAAGAAGACCCAATTTTGCAGCAGTTATAGAAACATGGAATGAAATGCGTGATGCGCGTTCAAATTTCCAGCTCCCTCTACTTGGGAGTGTGAGGCGGTTTCTTGCAGAGGGAGAGCCGTTCCCCATTTCAAAAGCAGCTGAAGAAGGAAAACAAAGCAGGCTCTGTCCAAGCAGCGTGCAGAGGACCCTGAGGGAGCACACGACTTACCTCTACTGTTGTCGGGCATGCCCGGCTGGGGGTTGTAGGGGGGCCTCGGCTTGGGGTAGATATCTGAGGGGAAAACGACAGTGCACGTTTAGCAGAGAAAAGTAGCCACTTTCAGTAGCAGCCTGTGACACAGGAGCATCAACACGGCAATAGATGCCCCAGGTCCCTCACACCTGCTGCCCATGTGTCATAGAAGGTCACAGACCAGTGGACCCTACCTGAGCCTCTCGGTGTAAAAATCTCAAGACTAGAACGTAAAGAAAAACCCCAATAGGCACATGCACACTCACACACACACACACACACAACCACCCATCTCTCCATCCATCATTCACTCATTGATCCATCCATCCATCATCCATCCATCCACGTATCCAACCATCAACCATCCACTCATTCATCCATCCATCATCAATCCACCCACCCAATCATCCACCCATCCATCATCCATCCTTCTACCCACCCACCCACCCATCCAGCCAGCCAGCCAGCCGGCCATCCTTCCATCCACCCATCCATCCATCCATCCATCCAACAACTATACAACCATGCATGCATCCATCCACCCATCCATTAACCGATCCACCCACCCAACCATCTACCCACCCATCATGCATCCAACAATCCACTCATCCAACCATCCAACCATCCATCCACCCACCCATCCCTCACTCCCTCCATGGACATTAGCCTATCACCAACTCTTTGCTATTGGTGAATCATGCTGCTGGTCTATACCTACGAGTGATATTGCCTTCTGGGTGGAGGAGCGCCTGGGTGGCTCAGTCAGTTAAGTGTCCAACTTTGACTCAGGTCATGATCTCAGGGTTCATGGGTTTGAACCCCGTGTTGGCCTCTGTGTAGACAGCTCAGAGCCTGGAGCCTGCTTCCGATTCTGTGTCTCCATCTCTTTGTGCCCCTCACCAGCTCATGCTCCCCCCCCCTCTCTCAATAATAAATAAAAACATTTTAAAAACATTTTAAAGAAGTGAATTCCAAGAGGAATTGTAGAAAAGGATCATAAACTTGGACATGTTAATACTGGACAGAAATTTTTAAAACAGGGTAAGTAGTGTTGTGAGCACCTGTTAACTGAGGCTGCAGGTATTACTGTTTGTTGCTTTTCAATTGGGTAATACCTTCTTTGGGCCCTCGTCCCAGTTTTTAGCAACCCCCGGCCTGGGAGGAGATAAATTTCTATCCAGGTCAGCACCAGAATGGGACTCTGTGGCCACTTCTGGAAGCCCTTCCCTTAGCCCTGCTTCATTCAGCACTGCCTGGTCTTGCTTTTAGGTTTTCAGCACTTTGTGATTGCTAAGGAGTTTACGAACGTTGTCCATCAATGTTTCCTTTCACTTAAATTTTTTAAAGAAATCTACAGGAAGCTCGTCTTCCAAGCATTTGAAACCCCACAGACACGGAGGATAGATGACATACGACACACAGCACACACAGGTGGGCTTTTTTGGGGCCGCATCATTTGGAACCGTGCAAACATGTGAAAGAGCAACTTGTCCTCAGCTTAATTAAAAATGCATCACAATAACGTACAGTAACCGTCAGGCAGACCTATTTTGCAGCAGTCAGAGCAACAGGGAATGAAGTGCGTGATGTGGGGTCAACCTTCCACCCCCCTGCTTGGGAGTGTGAGGCGGTTTCCTGCAGAGGGAGAGCCATTCCCCATTTCAAAGGCAGCTGAGGAAACCCACCAGGAAGACAAAGCAGGCTCTGTCCAAGCAGCGTGCGGAGGACCCTGAGGGAGCACACGACTTACCTCCACTGTTGTCGGGCATGCCCGGCTGGGGGTGGTAGGGGGGCCTCGGCTTGGGGTAGATACCTGAGGGGAAAACGACAGTGCACATTTAACAGAGAAAAGTAGCCACTGTCAGCAGCAGCCTGTGACACAGGAGCATCAACACGGCAATAGATGCCCCAGGTGCCTCACACCTGCTGCCCATGTGTCATAGAAGGTCACAGACCAGTGGAACCTTCCAGAGCCTCTCGATGTAAAAATCTCAAACGTAGAACTTAAAGAAAAACCTCATCTAGTGCATGCACAAACGCGCACTCACACACACACACACACAAACACATCCATCCATCCATTCATCCATCCACCCACCCAACCATTTACCCACCCAGGTCCATCCACAATCCACTCATCCAACCATCCAAAAATCCATCCACCCACCCATCCCTCACTCCGTCCGTGGACATTAGCCTATCACCAATTTTTGCTATTGGTGAATCATGCTGCTGGTCTATACCTAGGATGGTATTGCCTCCTGGGTGGAGGAGCACCTGGGTGGCTCAGTCAGTTAAGTGTCCAACTTTGACTCAGGTCATGATCTCTGGGTTTCTAGGTTCTGGCCCCGCATCAGGCTCAGAGCCTGGAGCTGCTTCCGATTCTGTGTCTCCCTCTCTTTCCTCCCCTTACCCGCTCTTGCTCTATCTCTCAAAATTTAATAAAAACATTTTACTGCTTCAGATTCTTGGTCTCCCTCTCTCTGCGCTTCTCACCAGCTCATGTTCTGTCTCTCTCTCTCTCAAAAATAAATATTAAAAAATAAAAACATTAAAAAATAGTTTTAAAAAATAAATTCTAGGAGGAATAAGTTGGAGGAAAGGGTCTTGAGCTTGGAGTGTTAATATTGGACAGAAATTCTTAAAAGGCAAGGGCAAATGGTGGTGTGAGCACTCGTTAACTGAGGACGCGGGGGTGACTGTTACTTTTCAGTTAGGTAACGGCTTCCTTGGACCCTTGTCTAGACATTGAGTGGCCGCTCCTGGGAGGAGATAAATTTCTATCCATCTCAGCACCAGAATGGGACTCTGCGACTGCTTCTGGAAGCCTTTTGCTTAGCCCTGCTTCATTCGGCCCCGCCTGGTATGCTTTTAGGTTTTCAGCACTTTTTGATTGCTAAGGAGTTTATCAATGTTGACTGTCATTGTTTCCTTTCACTTAATTTTTTTAAAAGAAATCTATGGGAACAGCGTCTCCCAAGTATTTGAAACCCCACTGACTGGAGGATAGATGACATACAATACACAGCACACACAGGTGGGCTTTTTCGGCGCATCATTTGGAACCGTGCAAACATGTGAAAGAGGAACTTGTCCTCAGTCTAATTAAAAATGCATCACAATAACGTACCGTATCCATCAGGCAGACCTATTTTGCAGCAGTCAGAGCAACAGGGAATGAAATGCGTGAGGCGGGGCCAACCTTCCACCCCCCTGCTTGGGAGTGTGAGGCGGTTTCCTGCAGAGGGAGAGCCGTTCCCCATTTCAAAGGCAGCTGAGGAAGGAACACAAAGCAGGCTCTGTCCAAGCAGCGTGCGGAGGACCCTGAGGGAGCACACAACTTACCTCCACTGTTGTCGGGCATGCCCGGCTGGGGGTGGTAGGGGGGCCTCGGCTTGGGGTAGATATCTGAGGGGAAAACGACAGTGCACGTTTAGCAGAGAAAAGTAGCCACTGTCAGCAGCAGCCTGTGACACAGGAGCATCAACACGGCAATAGATGCCCCAGGTCCCTCACACCTGCTGCCCATGTGTCATAGAAGGTCACAGACCACTGGACCCTACTTGAGCCTCTCGATGTAAAAATTTCAAAACTATAACTAAAGAAAAACCCCACATAGGCACATGCACACACACACACACACACACACACACACACCCATCTCTCCATCCATCATTCACTCATTGATCCATCCATCCATCATCCATCCATCCAATCATCCATACATCCAAACATCATCCACCCATTCATCCATCCATCATCAATCCACCCACCCAATCATCCACCCATCCATCATCCATCCTTCTACCCACCCACCCATCCATCCATCCATCCATCCAACAACTATACAGGGATGCATGCATCCATCCACCCATCCATTAACCCATCCACCACCCAACCATCTGGCCTCCCATCATCCATCCAAAAATCCACTCATCCAACCATCCAACCATCCATGCAACCACCCATCCCTCACTCCCTCCGTAGAAATTAGCCAATCACCAACTTTTTGCTATTGGTGAATAATGCTGCTGGTCTATACCTAGGATGATATTGCCTTCTGGGTGGAGGGGCGACTGGGTGGCTCAGTCTGTTAAGTGTCCAACTTTGGCTCAGGTCATGATCTCAGTGTTCATGGTTTTGAACCCCGTGTTGGCCTCTGTGCAGACAGCTCAGAGCCTGGAGCCTGCTTCCGATTCTGTGTCTCCATCTCTTTGTGCCCCTCACCAGCTCATGCTACCCCTCTCTCTCTCTCTCTCTCTCTCAATGATAAATAAAAACATTTTGAAAACATTTTAAAGAAGTGAATTCCAAGAGGAATTAGTTGTAGAAAAGGATCACAAACTTGGACATGTTAATACGGGACAGAAATTTTTTTTTTATATTTTTTATTTATTTCTAGGAGAGCGAGAGAGACAGCGTGAGCAGGGGAGGGTCAGAGAGAGAGGGAGTCACAGACTGAAACAGGCTCCAGGCTCTGAGCTAGCAGTCAGCACAGAGCCCGACGCGGGGCTTGAACCCAAGAACCGCGAGATCACGACCTAAGCGAAAGTCGGACACTTAACTGACTTAGCCACCCAGGCGCCCCCAGAAATTTTTAAAAGGAAGGGTAAATGGTCATGTGAGCACCTGTTAACTGAGGCTGCAGGTGTTACTGTTTGTTGCTTTTCAATTGGGTAATACCTTCCTTGGGCCCTCGTCCCATGTTTAGCGACCCCCGGCCTGGGAAGAGATAAATTTCTATCCAGGTCAGCACCAGAATGGGACTCTGGGGCCACTTCTGGAAGCCCTTCCCTTAGCCCTGCTTCATTCAGCACTGCTTGGTCTTGCTTTTAGGTTTTCAGCACTTTGTGATTGCTAAGGAGTTTACCAATGTTCTGCATCAATGTTTCTTTTCACTTACATTTTTTTTAAAGAAATCTACGGGAAGCTTGTCTTCCAAACATTTGAAACCCCAAAGACACGGAGGATAGATGACATACAATACACAGCACACACAGGTGGGCTTTTTCGGGGCTGCATCATTTGGAACCGTGCAAACATGTGAAAGAGGTATTTGTCCTCAGCCTAATTAAAAAACATCACAATAACGTACAGTATCCACCAAGAAGACCCAATTTTGCAGCAGTTATAGAAACATGGAATGAAATGCGTGATGCGCGTTCAAATTTCCAGCTCCCTCTACTTGGGAGTGTGAGGCGGTTTCTTGCAGAGGGAGAGCCGTTCCCCATTTCAAAAGCAGCTGAAGAAGGAAAACAAAGCAGGCTCTGTCCAAGCAGCGTGCAGAGGACCCTGAGGGAGCACACGACTTACCTCTACTGTTGTCGGGCATGCCCGGCTGGGGGTTGTAGGGGGGCCTCGGCTTGGGGTAGATATCTGAGGGGAAAACGACAGTGCACGTTTAGCAGAGAAAAGTAGCCACTTTCAGTAGCAGCCTGTGACACAGGAGCATCAACACGGCAATAGATGCCCCAGGTCCCTCACACCTGCTGCCCATGTGTCATAGAAGGTCACAGACCAGTGGACCCTACCTGAGCCTCTCGGTGTAAAAATCTCAAGACTAGAACGTAAAGAAAAACCCCAATAGGCACATGCACACTCACACACACACACACACACAACCACCCATCTCTCCATCCATCATTCACTCATTGATCCATCCATCCATCATCCATCCATCCACGTATCCAACCATCAACCATCCACTCATTCATCCATCCATCATCAATCCACCCACCCAATCATCCACCCATCCATCATCCATCCTTCTACCCACCCACCCACCCATCCAGCCAGCCAGCCAGCCGGCCATCCTTCCATCCACCCATCCATCCATCCATCCATCCAACAACTATACAACCATGCATGCATCCATCCACCCATCCATTAACCGATCCACCCACCCAACCATCTACCCACCCATCATGCATCCAACAATCCACTCATCCAACCATCCAACCATCCATCCACCCACCCATCCCTCACTCCCTCCATGGACATTAGCCTATCACCAACTCTTTGCTATTGGTGAATCATGCTGCTGGTCTATACCTACGAGTGATATTGCCTTCTGGGTGGAGGAGCGCCTGGGTGGCTCAGTCAGTTAAGTGTCCAACTTTGACTCAGGTCATGATCTCAGGGTTCATGGGTTTGAACCCCGTGTTGGCCTCTGTGTAGACAGCTCAGAGCCTGGAGCCTGCTTCCGATTCTGTGTCTCCATCTCTTTGTGCCCCTCACCAGCTCATGCTCCCCCCCCCTCTCTCAATAATAAATAAAAACATTTTAAAAACATTTTAAAGAAGTGAATTCCAAGAGGAATTGTAGAAAAGGATCATAAACTTGGACATGTTAATACTGGACAGAAATTTTTAAAACAGGGTAAGTAGTGTTGTGAGCACCTGTTAACTGAGGCTGCAGGTATTACTGTTTGTTGCTTTTCAATTGGGTAATACCTTCTTTGGGCCCTCGTCCCAGTTTTTAGCAACCCCCGGCCTGGGAGGAGATAAATTTCTATCCAGGTCAGCACCAGAATGGGACTCTGTGGCCACTTCTGGAAGCCCTTCCCTTAGCCCTGCTTCATTCAGCACTGCCTGGTCTTGCTTTTAGGTTTTCAGCACTTTGTGATTGCTAAGGAGTTTACGAACGTTGTCCATCAATGTTTCCTTTCACTTAAATTTTTTAAAGAAATCTACAGGAAGCTCGTCTTCCAAGCATTTGAAACCCCACAGACACGGAGGATAGATGACATACGACACACAGCACACACAGGTGGGCTTTTTTGGGGCCGCATCATTTGGAACCGTGCAAACATGTGAAAGAGCAACTTGTCCTCAGCTTAATTAAAAATGCATCACAATAACGTACAGTAACCGTCAGGCAGACCTATTTTGCAGCAGTCAGAGCAACAGGGAATGAAGTGCGTGATGTGGGGTCAACCTTCCACCCCCCTGCTTGGGAGTGTGAGGCGGTTTCCTGCAGAGGGAGAGCCATTCCCCATTTCAAAGGCAGCTGAGGAAACCCACCAGGAAGACAAAGCAGGCTCTGTCCAAGCAGCGTGCGGAGGACCCTGAGGGAGCACACGACTTACCTCCACTGTTGTCGGGCATGCCCGGCTGGGGGTGGTAGGGGGGCCTCGGCTTGGGGTAGATACCTGTGGGGAAAACGACAGTGCACGTTTAGTAGAGAAAAGTAGCCACTGTCAGCAGCAGCCTGTGACACAGGAGCATCAACACGGCAATAGATGCCCCAGGTCCCTCACACCTGCTGCCCATGTGTCATAGAAGGTCACAGACCAGTGGACCCTACCTGAGCCTCTCGGTGTAAAAATCTCAAGACTAGAACGTAAAGAAAAACCCCAATAGGCACATGCACACTCACACACACACACACACACAACCACCCATCTCTCCATCCATCATTCACTCATTGATCCATCCATCCATCATCCATCCATCCACGTATCCAACCATCAACCATCCACTCATTCATCCATCCATCATCAATCCACCCACCCAATCATCCACCCATCCATCATCCATCCTTCTACCCACCCACCCACCCATCCAGCCAGCCAGCCAGCCGGCCATCCTTCCATCCACCCATCCATCCATCCATCCATCCAACAACTATACAACCATGCATGCATCCATCCACCCATCCATTAACCGATCCACCCACCCAACCATCTACCCACCCATCATGCATCCAACAATCCACTCATCCAACCATCCAACCATCCATCCACCCACCCATCCCTCACTCCCTCCATGGACATTAGCCTATCACCAACTCTTTGCTATTGGTGAATCATGCTGCTGGTCTATACCTACGAGTGATATTGCCTTCTGGGTGGAGAAGCGCCTGGGTGGCTCAGTCAGTTAAGTGTCCAACTTTGACTCAGGTCATGATCTCAGGGTTCATGGGTTTGAACCCCGTGTTGGCCTCTGTGTAGACAGCTCAGAGCCTGGAGCCTGCTTCCGATTCTGTGTCTCCATCTCTTTGTGCCCCTCACCAGCTCATGCTCCCCCCCCCTCTCTCAATAATAAATAAAAACATTTTAAAAACATTTTAAAGAAGTGAATTCCAAGAGGAATTGTAGAAAAGGATCATAAACTTGGACATGTTAATACTGGACAGAAATTTTTAAAACAGGGTAAGTAGTGTTGTGAGCACCTGTTAACTGAGGCTGCAGGTATTACTGTTTGTTGCTTTTCAATTGGGTAATACCTTCTTTGGGCCCTCGTCCCAGTTTTTAGCAACCCCCGGCCTGGGAGGAGATAAATTTCTATCCAGGTCAGCACCAGAATGGGACTCTGTGGCCACTTCTGGAAGCCCTTCCCTTAGCCCTGCTTCATTCAGCACTGCCTGGTCTTGCTTTTAGGTTTTCAGCACTTTGTGATTGCTAAGGAGTTTACGAACGTTGTCCATCAATGTTTCCTTTCACTTAAATTTTTTAAAGAAATCTACAGGAAGCTCGTCTTCCAAGCATTTGAAACCCCACAGACACGGAGGATAGATGACATACGACACACAGCACACACAGGTGGGCTTTTTTGGGGCCGCATCATTTGGAACCGTGCAAACATGTGAAAGAGCAACTTGTCCTCAGCTTAATTAAAAATGCATCACAATAACGTACAGTAACCGTCAGGCAGACCTATTTTGCAGCAGTCAGAGCAACAGGGAATGAAGTGCGTGATGTGGGGTCAACCTTCCACCCCCCTGCTTGGGAGTGTGAGGCGGTTTCCTGCAGAGGGAGAGCCATTCCCCATTTCAAAGGCAGCTGAGGAAACCCACCAGGAAGACAAAGCAGGCTCTGTCCAAGCAGCGTGCGGAGGACCCTGAGGGAGCACACGACTTACCTCCACTGTTGTCGGGCATGCCCGGCTGGGGGTGGTAGGGGGGCCTCGGCTTGGGGTAGATACCTGTGGGGAAAACGACAGTGCACGTTTAGTAGAGAAAAGTAGCCACTGTCAGCAGCAGCCTGTGACACAGGAGCATCAACACGGCAATAGATGCCCCAGGTCCCTCACACCTGCTGCCCATGTGTCATAGAAGGTCATAGACCAGTGGAACCTTCCTGAGCCTCTCGATGTAAAAATCTCAAATGTAGAATTTAAAGAAAAACCCCATCTGGGCGTTTGCGTATGCGCGCGCGCACACACACACACACACTCAACCACCAATCTATCTATCCAACCATCCATTGTCCAACCATCCGTGCATCCATTCATCCATCCAACCATCTATCCCTCCATCCATCTTTCCATCCATTCATCCATCCATCCGTCCATTCAATAATCCACCCA